GACTTGTGGGCGTTCTGATCGATGAAGCTCACGGGTGATGTATGCCGACAGTTCGTTGAGCTGTATGGTGAAAGTCACGTCCATGGTCTTCAGCTCGTGCTTTTTGAGGTGCTTGGTGGAGTGTTGCTCGACAAGAGGAAAATCTTGATGGTGCCGTAGCGCCCGTCCACGAACACCGGAATGTGGGCACTCCATTCTGACCATAGTGAGGCGTCTCCTCCAAACTGGAATTAGCGCCTGCCCTTTGTCATCTTGATGACTGACGGGGAAATTGATGTCCTTGAAGTGCTCGACCAATCGCCTGAAGGGGCCATAGCCAAGAGGAAAGTACTTGCGCCAGGATCGAGCATCGTGCAGCGGGTCTCTCCTGACCACTGCTATCAAGAGGTGAAAGAAACCACACCTTCAGTTGTTGATGCTAGTTGCTTGAGGCTTGACTTTGATGGCGAGGTCGATCCTTGTGGGCAATTTGCAAAACCCAATGGCCAGGCTGGCTGCAGCGCAAACACTTGAGGTTAGCTTTGATTCGCCCTTTTGGGTCAAATTTTCCTCCTCCTTATGGTGGATATCGAATCGTAGTGTTCGACTTGCCCGATTTAGAACCGCCGCATTTCCCTTTTTCTTTGTTCCTCCAACCTATGGGACTTGTAGTCGGGGACCTTGTTGCTAACCTTCAATGAGTGCCACGATAGGAAGGCAGCCTCTAGACATTTTAAAGTCCTAAAAACCCTTTCTAGCGTCCGTATAAGAGGCAAACGCTTAATTATATTGATCTGCCAAAGCCTAAGGATCACCGACTTCGCCATTGGGGTTATCTTCAATGCATGGTTCTTCGCCAAAGTAGCGATTATAATTCTTGCACAAGCGGAGGATGCAACAGCTCTGCCGATAACACTTGCACGCGGCCCCCTTGCCGCCATGAAAAATAAAACCGGTGTCCCCGGTGTCCCAGATATTTGGATTGCTATATTCCATAAATCACCTGTTGTGCACCAGCCCGACCACATGGTTTTATGCCTTTCCAATAAACAACGTTCTTATTGGCGTGTCCACATGATCCCTTTTCCCATGGTATGCCAATTCAAATATCCTCCTATCAAGATAGTCAAAGATCAAACACAAAAAAAGCACAGACCTCACTCAACTTATGAATTTCCTACAACATGGCGACTCCATCGGATCCATGCAAGAAAGAAAATCGTCAGGCAAACCATACATCACATAAATCCAAAGAAACCATATTATATTTTTGCACTTTTTCGAATCCCATCCTCCCTCGAAAATACAAAAGACAAAAAAAAATGAAAACAAATTCAAACAAAATTCACCATCGTAGAATGCTTTGGATGCTTCGCAAGAATAGCCAGCGTCTTAGTCGAAATCATACGGTTCCTCGTAATTATATTAGATGATATTATCGGACCAAGGTTCATCATCTTCATAATACCCGTAGTTCCAGCTATCATCACCATCATCTTTTGGGGCATAGTTATCGGCAATGTACGCCTTCTATAAGCGCAAGGAGGATTGAAATCGCCGGTTGCGATCAAAGTTCCAGCCACCTCCTTTGTATATAGTCCTGCCCCAAGACCAAGTAGAGCGCTTCGATTACGTCATGCTTCTCCAGGCCAAGTGTTTTCAAAGTGATCATCTAGCGCTGCTCTCTAGTCAAGGCAGCTCTACGCAATAGATGCCATCCTTAGACTGAGGGAGGAAGGTCAACTTTATGTTGCACCAACTTCCGATATGCTTCTTCGTAATCATTAATGTATATGAGGAGCGTCTAACCTCGTGGCCTCTACAACAAGTTAAAGTATCCCTCAAAGTCCGTAAGAAGTTAAACTCTAACGTCATAAGCAAAGTTCCGATCGAAGACCTCTATAATCTTTGGAAAGGCATCTGTCTTCTCGAGATCCTCCAATATCCAGTTTTAGAAGAGTCTCCAGGTCAGGCCTATAAAGCTCCCCACGATGTTCAAGACGCTTTCATTCCCACGTTTGGTAATGGACATCTTGCGATAACACAATTGTATCCGTTGTCGCCATTCCTTATAGTCACTCGGCTAGCCACTAAAGATGGGAACATAAGAGTCCCTAAGGTCAAGGTAGCCCGATGCCGAGTTGCTTCCCGCCGAGCCGGATGCCTGCGTCTATAGTATTTTCTTTTGTGCCATGGTGCCAAAGAGCTCCTCAGAGGTCTACTACTTCGCTGGAATGATGTGGTAGCGGATGAGAAAAACAGCCAGACAAAGACCTAGGCAGGAAAATAAAGCTCTTGGAACCGTTCGTAACGTAGGGCTTCTTCCAAGCCTTCGGGAAGCTGTCGCGAAGTGCGCAGGGTAAGGAACCCGGTCTAAACCGGGCTCCTCTACCAATGTAGAAACTAGAAACGCACGAAGTTCTCCAGCAAAAGGGTGGATCGATGAACGAACCGAAGTCGAAGGGCAGCCCAACGAATGGGCCGCCGCGTCCGCGCCTTTTCAGCATGCTGAGCCCGCCCTCTGCGGACGGATCATGTGGTTTCATGAAACAAAATGATATACAGCGTTCATCTTCACACTTACATTCCTCACACTTATAAATACCTACCTTCAATCTTATTCATACACCTATCAGAGGTCTTGGTATGCAACTTTCATAACAGATACAAATTAATAATTTCGGATTTGTGTTTTCTTTACTCGAGCTCATCAAGAAGGCAGGGATGCCTTTTTGAAAGAGTTTGCTTTTTCTATGCTTTGGCGCCACTCGGCAATCAACAACCAGATTGTTGAAGATGAAATTGGATTGGGTTTCTTTTCGAGATCCACCTGCTGCTGAAAAGGTTGCCGATGGGGTCAAGGTTGGTTGTGGCACTGCTTTGTTTGGAGCAGACTAGTGGCGCCCATGTTAAAGTTGTCAACGAAGTGGCGCCAAGCAGTCCCACCGCACGCAAGTGGAGCTGAGCAGACGCTCTCATTCCCCTGACCACGAGCTATCGCCGCTGATCCCACGACTGAGTGTGTGAGGGTGGTTAAAAACCTTCCACACGTCCATTGTGTTGCAACCACCAAAGTTTGCAATCCAAAATTTTGCACCATTCGTTGCGTATTTCGAGAGGTTGATGCTGCAAGGGGCCCTTGTAAGGTCGCAACCAAGACCGCAATCTGTTGCTTCGAGTTTCCCTCAAACATTGGCTTTGCTGGAAAGGCATGCGCACAGGATATATCCTTGTGGAAGCAATGCCATGGAAAATCGAGGAACCGCGTTCGTAGTTGATTGCATCGTTCCAAGCACTTCAAATGTTGATATAATGTTAGAAAGTCTAACTGGAAGATTCGCTTTGGAGTATCAGGAACAAGTGCATCGCTTCTAGTAACAAGTGCCTTACTACTGCAGTGCACCGATGTGCACCGGTGTGCACCGGGGCCTCGCGTGGCACGCGCGCGCGCGAGTGTCGCCAGAACACTATACACCTGTGGTTCTCGGCTTCGGCCGCCAAAGTCACAAACTTCGACATAAATCTTCGTTCATAAAGTGTTATACCTGCCACGAAATCTGCAATCTGCACTATGCCTGCCACGAAATCTGCACTTTAACCTTCACCAAGAAATCTGCACTTCGAGGTTCATAGCATGCTATATTGCCCTGCACTTCGAGATTCACAAAGTGCTACACCTGCCACGAAATCTATACATCGAGGATCATAAAATGCTGTGGCTGCCACGAAATCTGCAAACGAGCCACATATTCAAAAGTCACGATTCATTGCACCTATCACCTCTAAGCACACCTGCCTTTACCCCACCGTAAGAACCCCTAGTGTGTCCACATTGTCTGGGGAAAAAAATCATCAAATCCTATCACGCTCACCCGTCCGCAGCGGGGAGGAGGGATCCATGATATTCATTTAAACGTCGAGGAGGTGCCCTCCATCCCGTCAAACAGGTTGCCGTTAGCTGCGGCCAATTTTCGTCTCAATGTGATTTGATAAGCAAGGCTTGAGCCAAATGGGAAGTCAGTAGAAGCGTATTATATATTAGCATGAAAATGCAACTTTCAACGTGCAGCAATTCAATGTCCTTCTCCAACGATGATGGACATTAGGTTTTTCCCAGCGAAGTCTTTTTTGATCCATGTTGGTGACACAATTGCAAGGAATCTTGCAATTAGCGTGCATGTGGCGATTCATCACCATATTCCATGTAAGGAAGGCAACTGGCAAACCCATGCGCTTGGGAGAAAGCGTGTTCTTCCGCCACATGACCAGAAACGCTGTCCGAACACGGATCTTGCTTCCACAATGCCCTTCAGGCAGTTAGACTGCAGGTGAGACGGCCGGAACATGACGTGCTAAATCGAAGCGGCGCATACCAATTGAACGGTCAAACCCGCAACAGAGGTGTGCCTAGAAGACAAGGGTTCTGCAGCGACCATGAGAAAAACCGTTTACAAGCGAGCTTATGGATGAATGAGCTTGATGGTGAGGGAAACCATCTGTTCAAGTCTGCTTAAAATGGAGTTGACGTTGACCCTGTGGGACAACAGAAGTCTATGAGACGACCACGGCTTACCAAGGTAGTGGTTTTACATGAGGCCCTCCTAAGCACTTGTTCCAGCTTCTTTCAGTGCACAGCTTCGTCAAAGCTTACGCCATCTTCCGCATCCATTCTGTACAAAGGGCAAACACTGCGAAAGGGCCAGAAGAAGGTAGAACTAAGATGCAAGCAAAGGAAGAGGCCTTAGGGTAACAACTTCCAAACCAGCTCTATGTTCCCTTTCACCTCCATGACTCGGTCTATTTCTAGTTATCCAAGTCACAAATGCCCATCTGCTGCCACACTTCAGGCCCAAACACCAAAGGATTGATCTACACCCAGCCGCTGGTGGGCCAAGGGAACCGAAAAAACCAGCAGCGCTGACCTCTACATGGGCCTCCAAGCTAACCACTTCTCGTGGAGCCGCGAGTTGGAGAACTCGCTCAATGATGAACATGTTCTCATAGTGTTTCACAAATAGCATGTTTTCTTCAAAATCCTAAATACAATCTTTCTAGGTCGATCATATCTCGCAAAGAGGGGGGGCACCAGGGTTTTGACCGACACCCACCTCCGAAAATCTTGTCTCCTCGACTTTTGGCCACTGACTGGCCCAAAGTTCCACAAACTTCCAATGGGATCACACTGCCGAACTCAGCTAGAGTCCACTTCACTGCACTCCACCTTGGCACGGTGAAACAAACTAATAGCGATGGCCTCCAACCTAAGGGCAATGGCCTCCAACCTAATAGCGATGGCCTCCAACCTTCCCAAACAATGATTTTGTCATGTTTTCTGTGGGGCAAATGTTAGCGGAAAACAATGGAATAAAAACACCCTGACTACCCAGCTCCAAAAGGAAACCGTTGAAGGTGAGTCCGCAAGTGAGTTAAACAAAGAAAACTACACAAATGGCACCTTCCCTGAAAGCTTGCAAGTGACATTGCATAGAAAACAGGTTGCGCATCCCCCGCTTTGAAAAGGCTCAACATGGATAAGACATCAGCAGCCTTGTTGCCAAATGTTTCAATCTGCGAATCCGTCACGCATCCTCGATTTTTGCAACTACACACTGCCCGAGGACCGGGCGGCCATGGCCTCGGCAGCCTGCCGTGCGTGGAAGGACGACCCATGGCTGTTCTCCTCTGTGCCTCACAGAGCAGATTTGCTTGCCGATCGTGGCAAAACTTTTCTCCACGTGGGCAACAGGATCTGAATCGTCAAGCCAAGTACAGGTCATTGGGTTGATGAAGTCGTTCATCCATTATGCAACCTTCTGAGTACTCAGCGGCGAGGTCGCCTTGCAAAGTCCTTGGTTGGTTTTTTGACATCCATTCTCCAGACTCCTCGCCGCTAAATAAAGGGTTCTATAGTACTTCTAAACCAACCCTTTCCCTTCACCTTCATTTGTCTCTTTGCCAAGAGTTCGACGGTTTGAGGCGCCGGCCAAAGGACGTGGCGACGGCAGACCATCACCCTCGACTCTTCCGGGAGGGCCCAGCACCTTGTACGGCGTCGGGAAATGTGAAGAAAAACACAAAGCAAAAAAGGTGAACGACAAGCAATGGCCTCCAACCTGAGAGCCATGGCCTCCAACCTAGTAGCATGGTTTCAAAAAACAAGATTCTGCCAGGACAATAAGTCAGAACAGAATCTTGAATGCCTAATATTGGAAACTCGCTGCTTGCTGGTGTACTTTGGGCACCCCAAACCCTATCGGGCCCTATCGCCTGACCGCTGAAGACATAGCGGCCCCGCACAGCGGAGCGGGGAGCTAGCGAGGGTTCACCCTCCTGGGCGTGGAAATCTGCATTAAACTTATCATGAATTATAATAATACATAAATAAATAAATACATATAATATTATATATATCTACACATTTCAATCATTTTACCTTTTCTTTTTTACATATTTTTAGCCCTTACATCATGGAGAGAGGAAGAGGTAGCTAGCAGCAGCTAAGACTAGCTCATGCTTCCTTGAAGAAGCGCTCGCACAAACGATTTGGTTCCTAGAATTTTAGGGAAGCTTATTAACTATGTGATCTGGCACTAGATTAAAGGAAAGAGCATAAAAGCGATGGCCTCCACCCTAGTAGCTATGGCCTCCATCCTAGTAACGATGGCCTCCAACCTACTCACAACCTACCCTACATAGTGCCTGGCCTTGCCGTTCCTCTTGCCCGGACATCAAATCACCCTTTGAACGCTGGACATGCTAGGAGCTAGGATGGCTTGAAACTTTGCTCAGGGTTTCAATGTGATCGTTTCCGTGCTCCTGAGCAATTGATTGACCTCGGGCAGGAACATGCCTCAGATGTGGTGGCATCCCGATCCACCGTAGACTGAGGGGTGGACCTATGACGAGTGACATCTTTCATGGGAGTTACTAAAAAGGCCTCCAACCTAATAGCGATGGCCTCCACCTAGTAGCTTCTAGTTACTAGAAAGCTTTATTGTTACTAGACCACATTCACATCAACCCCATGGTCCCTAAACCAACCCTTCAATTGCGAAGCTCTCCAACCGATCCGAAACACATGATGTCATCAAAACGCATTCTCATCCAAGCTCACGAAGACTCTACAGGAAAAATCAAATTGTGGATGCTACTTCACTGTCAAAGACGGAATGCACAGAAGAAACTGCATGAGGTGAAGCTCTTTGTTTTGGCGTTTCTGGATTCGATTCGTTCGTCTCCCTGTGGGGGGCCCCGCGGCTTGGAATTGCTCTTCGCACCTCAAAGAGCGGATGCACAAGTCTCGGGTCAGTTGGCAAAGTTTTCGCAAAAGAAAATCGAACGAAACAGTTTTCTCACATTTTCTTTTTTACGGATTTCTTCGCATTCAACTGAACGACTTTGCCAAAATCTTGACAGATCCGCACTAAGTTCAGCACTCTCCTGGCATCGGCTTAAACAATCTCACGAAACCGTGGCTTCACATTTTTGCTTGCCTGTCCCTGGATTTTAACGAGAAGAAAACAGCCTTTTGTCTAGATGCAAATGTTCTAAGGTGCAAAAGCTTAAAGACCCTCAAGATGCATTGAATTGAATTGATAGAGCTGAATAAGACACTTTGTTCTCACCTGTTGTTGCAAGGCACGTCGTAGTTTTGTACAAACACCGTAGTCCCGCCTGTTCAACCTGTGTCTGCGTGCGAGCCTCCAGAGGAAGAAACAGGCGCTTGGGGAGCATCTAGGAGCATATAAAACAGCACACCACTAGTGCACCACACGACTAGTACAGCAAGCCTCTTACTACAGCTACACACCCTACAGGAAAAGTCTTAGGACATGCGAATGCACTGAATGCCCATTTCAGTACGTTTTTATTAGGTTGGAGGCCATTGCGAACTCATCGTCACGGAGGAAGACAGCCGTGATATCTTCGGACCAGACTTTGAGCCAGCCACATGCCAATTTGAGAATTTGTAGCCAAGGCGCTGCGCTTTACGGCACCGTGCGCTTGAAAGTGAAAGTGAAAGTGGAGGCCATTGCTACTAGAATTAATACATTTCTATCCTTTCGTTTTGAACCTGTCAAAACGTCAACTCTTTGGTCGGAGATCGCCTCCACACCACGACGCACATGTCGCAAGAGGTCTTCCATATCATCCGGGTCAGCGGACTCAGCACATTCGAAATCGAGATTGCAAGGGACACAGTCCAAACCAGAAAGATAAATTTAGCATGTCTTAGCACAGATCGCCCAAACTCTAAACAGAACTGGACCATGCCATGCTATTAATGCTATGCCTAAAGTGTTTTGGACATAGCCATGTGCTCTTACAAATCTTACATAGTTCCTCAAATCAAGACACAAAGGGCATCGCTACTAGTAACAAGGACGCTACACACACTCACCGTGGACACACCCACGCCATGTCGAAACCGAACTGAGGTCACACGCTACCCGCATTGCCGACCTAGGCCTGGTGGAGCGAGTGAGGTTCTGTCGTGGTGCAGCGGCACATTTTCGGACTGGTTTTCTCTTTGCTTAGAGTGGTTCCAAAATGTTCCAAAGAGGAGCAAGGCGAAGAAAACATGTAACATGCAGGACCCTTAAACGTTTCCGTCTTCCTTCCGCTCAGAATCCTCACTTTTCACCTTCCCATTTCCGTCGCCTTGGAGCAGCCGAAGACCTTGGAGACGAACATTGGGCGGTTGAAACAGAAACACAAATCACAGGGGTTTCAGCACGGTGGCTGTAGGCTTGGTCTCAAAACGAACTCTCACTGTAGGCTTGGTGCTGCAAGAAGTCTTAGACACATTGGGTTGATCAAAATTTTGTACGATCTGCTTTCCACTTCCCCCAAGCTTTTGTAGAGAAAGCTTTTGTAGAGAATGTGCAGTCGTTCACACTGAGGCTGCAGGTCTTGGCGTCACTCAGTTTCTCACGATCTCAAGAGGTTCATGGGAAAATGGCCATGGCACGATCAGTCCGGTGAACTTGGAGGGTGGGGACGCTATTAGGTGGAGGCCATCGCTACTAACAAGGACGCTACTAGGGGCTCCTGGCATCGCTACTAGTAACAAGGTGCAACATGTGACTCCTGTGCCAAGAACCGGCTGAGGCTCTTGCAGCCGAACGGCTGACGTGCGGGGAACAGCTTCTGTGCGAATCCTGCCCTGTTCCACTGAGAAGTTGAACATGGAAAAGGACAACTTTCTTCAAATCACATTTGGAACCACCGCTGAACTTTGATACGAACGTCAGAATTCCAACTTGATTGGAGAGACTTATACTTGAGGAATCTTGAGGATCTGACTAAGTGTTCAATCCCTTTTCCAGTATTTTTTTGCGGACCAATTGCTCCAACTTACTATCATGTCCACGTCTCGAAGAAAGCAAACGCCCAGCCGAAGCGTTTTCTCACCTTTTCTCACCTTCCAACTACCTGCTACCACTGCCAGATTTGCATCTGAAAAAGAAGAATTCCAGCAATGCCCCCCCCCCTCTGCATGTTTTTCCACATTGCGCTGTCTTCTCCAATTTCTCGGGGTGAAAATGCGCCGATTTTTGGTTCAAGTCGATTTTGACAAGACCATCGCGGCTCCACAGCGTCACCTTCAGGCCTCCGCGGTCCTCACTCATTTCTCTTTGAGAAATAGCTTTCCTAGTCGCCTCTTGTTACTAGTAGCGATGGGCTCCAAACTAATAGCTTCTAGCTATGTTACAAACTTGGAGACATCTCCCTGAATCCACAGACATTTTTGACCCTCTTGTTTTCCACTGCAATCTACGCTTGCTGAGACTTCCGCATAGCGTCAGCAACTGAAGGAAAAAGACAAATGGAAACCGCTGGTTCATCAGTGTTCTAGTCCGACAAAAAGTCGTCGTCTTGTAAGTCGTATTTCCAGGTTCCCCACGGAGATGACTCCTGCAGGTATTGCCTCATCTCCATCGTTCATCGATTTCACATGCGCATTTGCCGTTTGCCGGGTGAAATCCTTAACAAGAAGCTACTAGGAACAAAGGGCATCGCTACTAGGAGCAAGGACACTACTGGGGGCTCCTGGCCGTACTACTAGGAACAAGAAGCTTCGCAGTTCGCTGAGCACTGGACCCATGGCGCCACTGTCCCTCTTTCAGGACCCTGAGTGAGAGTCTGAGTACGGAGACATGTACCTACAGTGTCTACAAATGTCAGTCTGCAAGCGGTAAGCAGCATCAGCAGCATCCCTAAAGGTCAATAGTAACAAGAAGCTACTAGGAACAAGTGCCACGCTACTAGTAACAAGTGCCTTACTAGTAGTAACAAGAAGCTAGTAGAAACAAATGCCACGCTACTAGTAACAAGTGCCTTACTAGTAGTAACAAGAAGCT